ATTTGAACAACTAGGGACAAAAATGTAAAGTAGGTATAATTGAAATATGATAATACTGCACAAAAACTGGGGAATGATCTCCCCCAACAGCTTCATGTAGATATTTAGAAAAGGATGGGGCTAAGCCTTTAGTCACCCCCACCAACCAAGAAGTTCAGACTACACTGCTCCACCTTACATTGACTGGAACCAGCCCTGGAATAAGAAGAAACACCTCAATAAGTGCGCCATTTCCCAAGCTCCTAAGCTAGTCCAGAATGTAACTGTGATTGATGGTAACAAAGGTTCCTTTTCTTTCAGCCATGGAAGACTTAACAACAAAAATTATTTATTTCTGAGTTTTCTTCAGTATTTAATCTGAAGGAGAGAGTTTTCTTTGCTCAGATATTTAACCATCTAGCCCTCTTGGGATTCCTTCTAGGCATTTAAGATAAATGTTTGACCATGTTTAGCATTACTTTTCTTAAAATGGAGCACTCAGTTCTAAATATAACTTCCCTCAACTTTCTAATACTTTCATTCATTGTTCATTCCCATGTTCATTCAGTCAATGTTTTTTTTTCCCTTTTGGTTAGTACCAAATCAGGAGAGTTGATCCTCTTCTAACTTTCCACATGCTTTGAAGAAGACAATTATTGGAAACTCATATCTAGACTTTGCTGAAGAGAGGTCCTACCTATTACTACAACTTCACATGTCTTTGAAATATTTGCAAACTTAATCCACATCTTTTTGCATCTTTTTGAGGGAAAGGGAGGAAATGAGTAACAGATAGCTATTGCAGACATAAAAATTACTTATTTATGTTTTTAAAGTTATTTCTAACATATACTCTTGGATACCAGACTTATATTGACATTTTTAACAAACATTATCTACTACTGGTTTTGTTCCTGTGGTTGTTGTAATAGTTGCAATAGATATAACAATAATAATATTCAGGCATATCCCTCTGGGACTTGAGTAAACACTCAAAATAAAAGTGATATTCTCTTTTTTTCCTAGAAAATGTTAAATCTTGTCAGGCATCACCCAGGATTTCACATGGCATGGTTACCGATGAACGTAAAGCAGTACATCAGCATGGTGATCTTTTGGAAGTTCAGTGTGATATCTCATTTGCACTTCGTGGATCAAAAACCATAGAGTGTGTGGATGGTGAATGGGCACCCTTACCATCATGCATAAGTAAGCAGAAATATGAGTAGACAGACTTGTAGATGCAACATGGTAGTTTCTTGCACTTAGCTTGGGGGGGGGGATGGTGGGGAGGAGGGTCCATAGTGTGCAAACTGGAATCTTTCTTCATAACAGATTCCAGTGCATTATTAGTAGAGAATGGAAGGGTAAGATTACTTCCCAGTGCTT